CGACCGCGGAAGCCGGCCTGTGCCTGCCTCGGGCGTTCCCCACAGCCGCTTCTCTGCCCCCCCCGGCGGCAGCGGTCAGCCCGCCCGGCGGCCACAGCGTTACTCTGCCAGGCGTCCCCCGAAGCTGGAGGGTGGACACAGCGCCTGCCGTTCCTGTTTCTCCACGTGAGTCGTGTTTCTCAGGACGGGCCGCGTGTCCTGCAGTTTACTCAGCGGCCAGCGGTCAGGTTGGGGATCATCTCGTGCTCTCCATGGGCTGCTCCCAGCCCCAGCACAATGTGGGGCAGAGCCTCCACTGGGGCCACCCAGCTGGGCTCCCCCTGAACCCGCCAAAGCGGCCTCACCTCTGGGGCCACCCCCGCTGCAGGCGTGCAGCTCAGGGCGCGGCTGGATGGCTCCTGGCCTGAGGCGGGCGCCCCCAGGAGGCAGGGGCCAGGCTGACGGGGGACTTCTGCAGTGCTGGGGTCCTCTATCACACAGGCCTGGTAAGGTGGCCCCGCTGTGCCCCGGGGGGGACAGCACTGCCTGCGCCAGGGGCTGCTCCCCTGCCCCCCCGAACCTCCCACAGTGCCCTAAGCTCTCCACCCTGCCGGCCCAGAGGCTGGGCCTCCGCTCTGCCCGCTCACCTGCCAGTGGGACAGGCACCAGCCGAGTCTCGGGGTAACCGGGCAACAGTCGGTCTTTGTAGACACAAGAAACGCAGCCTGAAAGCTTTTATTTTTTAAAAAGCTTTGTTTATTCATGCACACAAGAGCTGGGGTGCAGGCCAGAGGTGCTGGGGGTGAGAAGACTCCCCAGAGATAGAGAGGGGGGCAGAACAGGCGGATCCACTGAAACCCACTGCTGAGGGGGCAGCGGGGCCAGGAGAGGTCGGGGTACCCTGTTGGCACTCCCTAGCGGGGATCAAATCCAAGGGCCGAGGCAGCTTCTGTGCGCTGTATTTAACCCCTGTGCCACCAGGGGAGCAGTGGGGAGACAGGAGGCGTCTGCTGCACCACGTGGGTCACTCCCTGGCTGGGGATCAAACCTCCGCTGAAGTGGCTGCGGCTGGCAGAACTGTGCTTTAACCTGTTGCACCACGGGGAGCCCCCCGCTGTCCTTTTTTAAATGCTGAGGTTTTTTTTTTTTAACTACAAACTTAAAAAAAAAACCAAACAGCACTTCTGGGGAGCACACTGTAGCCCCGAGCCCCCACCGCTGTGAAAGTGGGGGTGCTATCAGACAGTGGGGTGTGTGTTCCCAGCAGACAGTGTGCTCAGCCCCCTGGCTCGCAGGACCTTTGTTTAGATTTTGACGGTGCTATTAATACACTGTGACCCGGTAGAGCCCCGCTTGCTGGATGGTCCTTCCTAGGGGAGAAGAATCTGCACTCGGCTTTCAAAGGTCTGAGCCAATCTGGAAGGTTGAGGACAGGGAACAGAAGCTTCCAGAATTATACAAAGGGACCTTAGCAAGTCGCCACCCGCGGAAGCCGGAGGGCGTGAGAAGCGCCTCCACGCAGCCCACAGCAGGTGGCAGGTGCCAGGCTGGCTGCCTGCGCGGGCCGCGGCCGGTGGTCAGCCCCAGAGCCGGAAACCACGAGGGGGCGCCGCAGCGGGAGGGGCCGGAGACGGGACGCCAGAAGAATTCAGGGGGTGCTGAGGGCCCGGAGGCCGTTTAGTGGGGTCAGTCGCGGCGTGAAAAAGGGTGAAAAAGTGTTGGAAGGAGACGGTGGCTTTGGCCACGGGACAGGGTTGTGGCCATGAGCTGGTCCTGGAGGCCACCTGGGGCCAGCCGCTGCAGGGCTGAGGTCTAGAGCAGGATGCCCAGCAGCTCTGCACCGCTGACCTGTGTGACACCCCTGTCCGGAGGTGGGAACGGGGCCAAGGGCCGCAGGAGCAGCTGGGACAGGCTCCGCCCAACGCCCTTCAAATCTGGGGAAGGCCAGGCAGAGAGGGACCAGGGGCTGGGCAGCCCGTGGCCCGCCCCTTCCTGGCTGGGCGGCTGCTGAGTCAGGTTTCCGCCGTCAGGACTGATGGACCCGATACTGATGAAACTCCAGGCTCATGGGAGGTCGGTCGCCATCACTGTCGCTGCTGGTGGGGGCGGGCGCCCACATCCCCTCTGCTCTGTCCAACCCGGGTAAGGCGGGTGCGCGCCCGGTCCCGCGTTGCCCTCTGCGTTCTCCCGGGCGTGGATTTGCTGCACCTGGAAATGAGTCCGCGCGGCCACCAGGCGCCAGTCCCAGCGACGGCTTCCTGGAGACGTGGCTGGAGTGCCACGGCCCCACTTCAGGTGTGGCGTCCATGGTTTCTAAAGGCTTGTGTGTGTATGCATTGGGGGGGGTGCGGGCCGGAGGTGAGGACTCCCCTGAGGCAGAGTGGGGAGCAGGACTGGGGAGTCCACTGAGATACACTGCTGAGGGGAGCAGCGGGGGACAGGCGGGGTCTGCTGCGCCCTGGGGGTCACTCCCTGGCGGGGGTCACACTCAGGCTGCAGCAGTTAAGTTTGAGACTTAATCCCACCAGGGAGGCCCCCGAAAAGAAATTCTATGCTCAGTAAGCAGTGGCGACCATCCCCACTGCCCTGGTAACCATGACTTGGTGGCCAGGTGGGTGGACGCTCCCTGGACGTGGATTCTTGCAAGACACGCGCCTTCTGGCACCGGCTCATCCCACATGGCCCGGACCAGTACTTTTTTCACAGCAGTAAAATTTCCAGCCTGCGCAGCGGGCCTGCCCCACCCCGTCTGTCCACGCTCAGGAGGGCGCCTGGCCGTGGCGCCGCTGGCTCCGAGGTGCCCTGCTCTGGGCAGCTTGCAGGGGGCGTGTGCCGGGGTGGGCTGGGGTGGGAGCGGGGCGCCCTGGCCGCAGGCTGTGAGGGCCCGCTTCTCCATCAGCTTGAAGTCAGAGAGGAGGGACGTGTTGGGTGAGCGAGTTCCAGCGGCCGTAGGCTGCGCTGTGCCCAGGCCCACCGGTTCCGACACGGCCGCCCCTCAACCCTGACTAGGCATCTCGGGATGGGAGAGCCTCAGGCCCGTCCAGGAGGCACGGGTCGGGTCGGGGGCGCGCCCAGCGGGCAAAGGGCGGCTGCGCGTGGCCACCCTTGGCTTGTTGTCCGTCTGTCCAGATGGGCGGGCTGGGCGGGAGGACTGGACGGCGGGGCTGCCTTCCCCAAGTGCCCGTGTTGCTGCGGTGTTTCTCTGCCTCGAGGCGCCTGGGCAGGCAGGCCCCGGGCCCTACCCAGGCATGCGCCAACTCCGCCCGGCAGAGGCCGCGCTCCCGGCGCCCTGGCTCTCTCCGGCCGTCATACCACCGAGCGCCCCTCCCAGACAGGAGGCGCCCGTCCGGGGAAGCCCCAGCTGCCCAGCCCACCCTGCCTGGGTACTCCTCGGGGCCCACTGACCCCCGCCGTGGCACTCCCGGCGCTCCCATGACGCGGCCCCCAGGGTGCAGCGGGGACTCCAGTCTGGCCGAGGCTCAGAGGCCGAGACGGTGAGGGCTGGTCTGGGGAGCTCACGGAGGGGACGCAGAGGGGACGGGCAGGAACCGGGCGGGGGCTGGCAGGGCGTGCGGGAAGCACCTCTGTGGGGTGTGCCCGGGGGCCTGGGCAGGAAGGACCAGGAGAGGAGCGCCGGGAAGGCCCCGCTCAGCTGCCTTGCAGAAAATGCCGAACAGCTCTCCAGGCGTCCCTGTTCTGCCTTGAGCGCCGTCCAGCCCCAGCTCGGCCACTTCCGAAGGCCTCTGCCCCTGGGGTCCACGTTGGAACCTAGCACATTAACGGGCTGGTTCGCTGTGCGGCGACAGCTGCGTGTCTGGACTCGGCCCCGAGGCCCCGGCCCGTGGGGGCAGCGCCCTTGGCTCCCCTTTCGAGTTGGGTGCTTGGAAGGGCGCAGTGTGCTGCCGGCGACCGGCCGCTGTGCCTTCCTGGAGCGTGTGCCAGCGCCCACCAGTGACCACCAGCACCCGGACACCCGAGCTCCTTAGCTGTGCAGGCCTCGCGAAGCCTCTGCAAACGTCCTACTTTGTCCGGGCGAGGGCGAGTTGTTGGTGTGCCGGAGCAGCAGCCTGGCGCCCTGCCTCGCCCAGGCCCAAGCCCGCTTTCTCAGGCCCCTCCCCGCCACGTGTCTGCAGACAAGCGAGCGTTTGAAGAGTTGTCAGCTGCCCGCTGGAAGGCGGGAGACAGGTGCTCCCAGGGAGCCATCCGTCACACCCCCAGGGGCTCTCAAGCCTAGGGGTCCTCTGGCTCTAGGGTTTCTGGCCGACAGCCTCTTGACCCCAAGCGCTCCCGGTAACCACGCAGGTAGCACCCTGCGGGGAGATGGAGTTCCTGCTCTGACCCAACACCTGCCGCTTCTGACAGGAACGGCTGGTTTCGCCTTCTCAGAAAAGGTGGAAACGGTCCTTTGCTGCTCAATCCTGGGCTCAGTACGTTGCCCTCAGCCTCTCCTGGGTGGCTGCGTCTCCCCTGCAGACCTGGGCCCCGACTGGGGCCACGCTGGCCCCTCCAGAGCTGGTGCTCTCGCTCACTTGGGGTCCCAGGGCCCTGCACCCCTGGGTGCTGGGGGCCACCCTCCACAGTGGACCCCAGGCCCGCTGCCTCCTGATGACACACGGGGGCAGAATCCAAGTCCTGTGCAGATGTGGCGCCCCCGCGCCCCCAGGCTCCTCTGGCCCAGAGAACAGGACGAGATGGGACGGGGTTGGAGGCAGAGGCCTTACGGGCTACACTCGCGCGCGTACCGCCAACACGTGAAGCTCCACGGAGAGCGCAGCGCTCGCCGCACCGAGCGGCCACTCCCGACCCGACGGACCCACCTGCCTCCCACACCGGCTCCCCACCCTGCCCGGCAGCACCGACACCCCAGCCTGTTACCCCCAAGAGCCTCCACGCACATATTGAATTCACTGTATTTGAAAGCAGAACATGACTTGAGCGTTACAATCCTGTTCACGAACTCGCCCCGAGGTACTTCACAACATGCCTAGGCAGGCGCCCGACTTCGCTACTCTAAGGGGACTCGGCTAGGAAGGAGGCCATGGGCGGCCGCGCTGGTCAGCCCGACACGCTCCCCGGGGCCTGTCCATGCGGCTGGGCGACGAGGGAGGGAGGGAGGTTCGGAGCGGACCTCGGGGACACGCGCGCAGGGACAGGTCTCGTCGCCAGGGCCCTCGGCAGCGTCAACGTCAACTAGGGAACAACTAGCTCTGCTCTAGCGCCTGAAGCACCACAGCGTCACACTCGGAGGGAGAAGGCAGCCGCCCGTAAGCGGGTACTGTCATGCCACAAACGAACAAAAATAAAGAAAAAGTCCTTGAGAACGGGCGGGGGGCGAGGACAGCTCAGCGGCCGTGGCTCTGCCGGCCTAGTCGACCTCCTCCATGCGCGACGTGTCGTCGTCCCCCTCCAGGGGCGGCATCTCCTCGGTCGCGGTGGCGCTGCTGTCGTCGGCCGTGGGGTCGTCCTCGTCGATGCCTGCGGGAGGAGCCCAGGTCAGCCGCCGGGTCCAGCCCGGCCGCGCAGCCCAGGGAGCCTCCCCCAGGGGCCGAGCGCTGCAGCTCCGGCGGGCGGGCGCCGCGGAGTTAAAGCCCTTCCCAGCTCGGGAAACGGGCCGGGTCCAGCCCGGCCGCCTTCGGGACACTTTCTGATGGGGGAGGGGCGCCTCCCTGACCGCGGCGCGCAAGGGCTTTAGGCGCGCCCCTGTGGTCACAGGCAGATGGCTCCTGGCTGCACCCTAGAACGTTTCCGACCTTCCTGTGTCCAGCTTCCATTTCCCCTAGGAGTCCATCCCAGAAGCTTCACCCGCGTTTTGTTTTTTAACATTTCCAAGGTGCCCACGGCGCGTGGCAGAGGAGCCTGGCCAGCACGGCGCTCCAGGGCACCGGCTCCCGCCCGCTTCCGTCTGGCTCCGGGCCGTGGCCTCTGCGCGTCCCTAGCGTCCCTAGCGTTTAGGAATCGGCCCTCAGCGGGCGCTCGGAGACGCCGCACCACGGTGGAAGGTGCAGAGAGGTGCAGAGGCCCCGCGCCGGCCGCCTCAAAGCAGCTGCAGCCGGGAGAGCTGGGGGGGGTCTCGGCCGCCGGGCTGGACTCGCGGCTTCCGCGCCGGTGAGTTTGCCTTTCTGGAACTTCAGGGCACACCGCTGTGACCTGTGTTTTAAAAAACGACAAGCTCTGGCGACTTTGAAAGCTGAGGCCCCACCACC